CATAGAAAAAATTTGAAAGCGCACAAGAAAATGCTGTTTGGCTCGTCTACAATACATATGGCCACACTTCAGTCGCTGAACTTTGTATCTCTAAGTGGCCTATCTGCTGAAACTCGTCAAAATCGTGCACTTCGTTTGAAGTTTTTTTTTTTCAACAAACTAAAAATCGGAATGAATAAACGCGCCCAGCGAAGCATATTATCATATAAAAAGTCAGTACAAGACTAACACGTCATACCGGATGAGACAAGCCTGGCTAAAATTAGAAATTAGATGTGGCATATGTCATAACAAATTGAAAAACATGCCACTATGACTGATCTTGTAAATAACCAAAAGCATTACAGTGTTGAAGACTTTAATAGGGCATTTCAATCCGGAATAGGCTTGTTTAAAGCATTGCATATAAATTGTAGAAGCATAAAAAGAAAGGTCGACGACATTGCTAATTTTATATGGTCTATAGCTATCGGATTTGATGTGCTAGTTTTCTCCGAGACATGGATTACTTATAAAGAAGATGCGCCGTTCTTTCCAGGCTATAGTCATGAACTTCTCTGTCGTAACCAGCAAAAAGGTGGAGGTCTTGCTATTTATTTTAAGGATACGCTTTCGAGTGAACTGCTTGATAAGTATACTGTTATGAACGATGATGTTGAATGCATTACAATGTGTGTTGGCCCATTCATAGTAATTGGCGTATATAGGCCTCCACATGGCCACAAAAAGAAATTTATTGAGTTTCTTAATGTTGTGTTATCCAGTGTTATCCACTGTTCGCGGGAATACTCCTTGCATAGTTATGGGTGACATAAACATTGACCTCTGTTTCAATGATCCTTATGCCAAAGATTTTGAAACGCTCTTAATTACATAAGGAAGTACAAATTTTATATGTTCACCTACTAAGATTACATTAACAAGTGCTACGCTCCTTGATATATGCGCCTCAAATTTAAGTTCACATAATATAAAATCCGGGGTATTTGCGTATGACATAAGTGATCATATGCCCATCTTCTTTCTTGCACGAGTTACTTCTCAAATTGGTCAGAAAACAGAGACATCCTTCCACCGAATTAAAAACAGCAAAACTCGGGAACATTTTTTTCAGCTAGTTCAGAACATAGATTGGACCACTGTTTATAGACAAGAAAATCCTGATGATGCTTATAACACATTCATGACGTTATTGAGTACTAGCTATGATGCGGCATTTCCACTTCAGAAGCGCTCACGTGGCAGAAATAAGAAATGCAGAAAGCCTTGGATAAATCGTTATCTTTACCGGCGCATAAAAATAAAGAATAAATTGTATCATGATTTCATCCGTTCGCGGAACACAGACGCCTTAGCTGAGTACAAGAAATACAGAAACGTTTTAAATTCAGAAATACGGAAGGCTAAACAGAACTACTATGAAAAATTATTTGAAAGCATTTACAATGACCAGAGGAAGCTATGGGAGGTCATAAATTGGCTTACGAACAGAAATAACGTGTGTAATAGGACACAGGACCTAACAATTAATGGTCAGATTTTCAGTGGTGAAAGGTTGGCCAATGTCATGAATCAACATTTCATAAATGCGGGTTCCTTTATTTTAACGGATGAAAAGCGAGATAATGCTCCAACTCCTGATAAGTCTCCTTTGCCGTATTCTATTTTTCTCGCACCCACAGATCCGGTTGAAGTAGAAAGATTAATCAGAAAACTTAAAAACAATGTTGCATCAGGGATTGATGAGATAGGTTCTGTTGAGTTAAAAATGGTGTCACCATTGATATCTAATGTCTTGGCCTATATTATCAACCTCACCCTCACTAACGGTGTATTTCCAGAGCAGCTAAAAGTAGCAAAAGTCACTGCAGTACATAAAGGTGGTGATATCAATACTCTAGCAAACTATCGACCTATATCCGTGCTTCCAACAATATCAAAAATATTTGAAGGGGTTATTTATGATAGACTTGCATCCTTTTTTGATAAGCACCAAATAATAACAAAAAGTCAGTATGGTTTTCAAAAAAATAAATCAACAGAACAAGCTCTACTGTATATCAAAGATAAGATAATCGAAAATATGGAAAACAAAAAATATACTCCTGGGCTCTTCCTCGATCTTCAAAAGGCATTTGACTCCATACAATTCAAATCATTTATTCATAAATTATCAAGTTATGGGGTGCGTGGAGTTGCACTACAACTGTTTAAAAGTTACCTAGAAGATTGTTATCAATATGTAAAACTGAATAACACTATTTCTGCAAAGATAAAGTTGAACCAAGGAGTCCCCCAAGGGTCTATACTGGGGCCATTATTGTTCCTTGCCTATATAAATGATATTGTCGATATACCTCATTCTCCTGAACTTATAATGTACGCTGACGATACGAATGTTTTCTTTTCATCAGACAATCTAATATCACTTGAGGTCAGTGTAAATAATTATCTAAGCAATCTTTCAAATTGGTTAAGGCAAAATGGACTGCGCTTGAATGCAAAAAAAAACAACCTATATGATATTCCGACCTATAAACAAACCTATTAGTAACATAGCTGTAAAATTCGAAGGAAATTGCATCGCACATGTTAGGGAACAAAAGTTTCTTGGTGTATGGTTTCAGGAGGAATTAAACTGGAACACACATGTAAATCATCTGATCACCGCATTAGCGCGAATAGTTGGTTGTTTTTTTAGAACAATGCACTTAATCCCATTGAGGGTAAAAATAAGTATGTACTATGCACTCTTCCATTCTAAAGTAAGTTGTGGGATGTTAGTCTGGGGAACGACATCACAAGGGAATTACCATAAGTTAATAACTATACAAAAGAAAATATTGCGCTGCTTTGAAAATTACAGGGGGAATCTACAAGACTTGCGCACTGCTCCACTATTCATTAAACATTCCATACTCAGAATTGATCAATTATATCATTTTAAATTACTTCAGTTAATACAAAAGACTAAGCTATATGAAGAAAGTTGCACCGAAAGACCACACTACAGTCTGCGAGAACAAAAGAAACGAGCTCCTAGAACAAGAACCAAGTATGGAAAACAAAGTATTGCTTACCAGGTACCTCAGGTTTTAAATACCCTTGCAGATCAATTGAACTTTAGCGCTAGTAGTGCGACTTTCAAGAAACAAATAAAGAACTTATTCATAACCACCGGTCTACACTATCGAAACTACGTAATGGAGTCTCATGCCTCTGCAAATGCTTAAATTGTTCATAAACTTCTATGTCAATTATACGAGTGTATACAGTGGAATTCATTGTATCCGCATGCATTTTGTCTGTTTTTGAGTTGTTTCATTGATATTGTTTAGTTGTGAATTTTAACGAGAGTGACCTCTAATTCTTAAAATGTGTTATGTAAACTTCCTATGCTATTTATGTTTGAATTTTGTGTTTACAATTTCAGGTTGCTTGAAACCAATGTATTGAATATATATATTGTTTGTCAGTGCTGATGTCTAAGCTTTGCACTGTCACGGACTGCGGAGGGACAAGGGCCTTTGTCAGGCTGTTCGCCTTTAGCCCTTTGCACCTGCAGTGAGCTCTGTATCCGGCTTACTGTAAATAAAAATACTACTACTACTACTACTACTACTACCTTGCATATTTGACAGGTTATGCTACCAGACGCATATGCTAGCTTCAACTCCATTCAGTAGCCCCGCCGCGGTGGTCTAGTGGCTAAGGTACTCGGCTGCTGACCCGCAGGTCGCGGGTTCGGATCCCGGCTGCGGCGGCTGCATTTCGGATGGAGGCGGAAATGTTGTAGGCCCGTGTGCTCAGATTTGGATGCACGTTAAAGAACCCCAGGTGGTCAAAATTTCCGGAGCCCTCCACTACAGCGTCTCTCATCATCATATAGTGGTTTTGGGACGTTAAACACTACAAATCAATCAATCAACTCCATTCAGTACATGTGTCAACTGTTTCAAGTACTCTTTCTTTCCCAGAACGATAGTGGATTGAAACAAACTGCCTGATTAGACTGACACAGAATTCATTATTACTATATCAATCCCACATTTGATAGGCAGCATTTTCTTGTCTCACCGAGATGTTTCATGCATATTGTTTTTCTTTCTTTTCACTCGTGAAATTTAAAAATTGTTGGGGTGACATCACTTGTCCTTGTTTCTTCAAAGCAAACGTGCAAAAAAACTCGTTTATTTCTTTTTCATCTTTTTATTTATATTTTTTTGTTTTATGCACCATGCTGCCAATATCTTTTGTAAGATTGCAGTATCGCTAAATAAATAATGAATAAATATTATCATACCGCTCCTTCATTCTCACTTATTGTGCTCTTTCCACTTTTAATTCCGGTGAAGGCACCCCAACACTATAAATGTTTTTTTTTTTTTTTTCCAAAATGGCTATGGGTTTTTCCCACATTATTCTTGCCTCTCAGCCTATGCAATGTTAATAAGGAACCTACTGCTTGAGGACCGCACTGGGACTGAGAGCGGCTGAAGCACAATGAGGGAGTACAAAGAGTTACAGTGTATTTCCCTAACTCCTCGGAACAGCCTAGTGACGCCAGAGGCGCCTGCTCCAGCGGCGATTCGAGCTAGAACAGTCGTGCTGACCATGCGCAGAGGGCATGGCATGTAGTCTTTCTGAAACAAGTGAGGTAAGAGGTTAAAGGTGCAAAAAATGCCCCACATAAGACATAGGCTAGCAAAAGACCCCTTGTATGTGCATCTCTATAATGTGTGTGTGCTAGCTCATCAGTGTAACCTCTTCGACTTCCCATCTTTCATTCCGAAACTATCTAAACTAACTCAAAAGCGAAATAATCGGAACGGGATGTACTAAGGGTGACAAGGTAACACATCTCACCGACCATGCGAAAATGCGCATATGTGTCGTTTTCCGTTCCGTAATGTTATATCTCAACTGATGCCATTATAATGAATGAATGGTGTAGAAAGGGAGCACGTCTGACACTCTTCTTTCTTTTTCTTTCTTTCCAGAGTATTGATGTTGTGAATACGCCATCGCTAGCTGTTGACAAACGAGGCCATTTCTACTGCTAAGTGGACACTTCACCGCGTTCAACTATGCCTCCGCTGAGAAAGAAAAGGAAGGTTGCACAAGGTGGCCATCGGAAAAAGACTCAGCAGTCGACAACCTTCGTGGAAAAAGCACAAACAGCACAGAAAAAACTTACAGCATCGACTTCCCGGGGGCATGACCACACAAGCACCATCCACAAGGCATCAGCATGTCGGCCAGCCCGCGATAAACAAGCAACTTTACCTCCTGGGCAAAGCATTGCAGACTGTTCCGATAGTGAACAGAACCAAAAACCGTTGGCTCCAGAGTTGCTTTTAAAACACAAGAGGGGTCAACAACGAAAGGCCATTAAGGTTGCCTCGAAAAAGAGCAAAGTCTGTGCTCTTGGTTCGTCCAGAAACCCTCCTGCTGATCCACCGAATGAAGAGACCCACGCAGCTCCCCCGCCTGCCAACACGAGCCAGTTGCTGACAGTGAAAAGTGGGTCAGGTAAGCCTTCAGCACAAGTCGCAGATCACACTGCAGTGTCATCTGGTGATAAGGAAACAGAGGGCAGACGCATGACCCGATCACTGTCGAAATCTCTGGAAAAGCTGCGCATGAGAAAGAGCACAGTTTGTGACGGTGCCAGTGTGAGTGGTCATGTCAAAGGAAAAGTGCGAGAAATGCCAAGCCGTGCGACTGTGGAAAAGCTTGGCAACAGAAAGAGGGCTAAGAGAAGGGGCAGCCCTCCAGTTGCACAAGAAGCGACCGTAACCAGCCCCGGACGCCCCTCGCCTCATAGTGAGACCTCTCAAGTTAGGAATGTTTCTGCACGTTATAGTTCCAGGACGGCACCAAAACCAAGTGGACAGCACAACACAAGAGCACTGTCTAGGTTGCAAACAGAGGAGGCTCCCACAAATGCCATTTCTAAGGAAGTTCACAAAACTGCCCGCATAGGTGGTTCTGCCTCAGCTCAGCGAAGCTTATCAAGGGGCGCAGTTACCAAGACCCCTCATGTTCAAGAGCGGAGAACACAGGATACTCCAGAAAGCCATTCCCACGAGACCAGTCTCAAGGCGGGTCCAAGTTCGAGTCGACTAAACTCGCACCGAAGGCTTTTGTTTAAAAAGGACTCTCTCAAAATCAACACGTTGCAGAAGGACACACAGAACATTCAAGTTAATACTCGCACATCGGAACAACAGCTCATGTCAGATGATGCTGCAAGAAGCAGTCAAAGTGCTACACTTCAGGGTAGCCAGGGCAGTGCAGAAACGAGTAGTACAGCTCGCAAGATTGGCAGCACCGGGAAAAAAACTGCCCGAATGTCTGCTCCGGGGAAAGCAGCGAATGCTCCAGAAAGCCGTATCAATGAGATCGGTCTCAAGGCAGGTCCAAGTTCGCATCCACTGAACTGGCAGCAAAGGCTTTTGCTTAAAAAGGACTCTCTCAAAAGCAACACGTTGCAGAAGGACACACATAATATTCAAGTTAATGCTCGCACATCGGAACAGCTCATGTCGGATGATGCTGCAAGAAGCAGTCAAAATGCTATGCTTCAGGGCATCCAGGGCAATCCAGAGATGAGTAGTACAGCTCGCAAGAAGGGCGGCACCGGGAAAAAAAGTGCCCAAATGGTTGCTCAGGAAATTTGCAAAACAAATGTTTTGGCTCAGACATCTCCAAAGAGACATAGTTTTAAAAGGCCTTCTGCAGAGACTTCTCATGCTGAGGTGGAGCCCAGTGGAGATAAGACTGTGAAGACAGAAAAGTGTTCACAGAAAATGCAGCAGTCTCTCGGGATCACTCTCTCAAATCGGGAACACACACCGGGAAACTCTCGCAGTCGTCGCTTTAGGTCCAGAAGACAAGTGCAAGGTAGAGGGGATGTTTTGGATCAGTCTCCTCGAAAGGGACATAGATCCAACAGGCCTACTGCAGAGACTTCTCATGCTGAGGCGGGGCCCAGTGGATATAAGGCTGCGAGGACACAAAAGAGTTTGCAAGAAATGCCGCAGTCTCTCGGGATCACTCCTTCAGACGAGGAACACGCATCAGGAAGCTCTCGCAGTTACAACCTCAGGTCCAGAAGACAATCGGAAGGCAGAGGAGATGGTCCACAAACTGAACATGTTCCTGAAAACACTGCCAGAATCACAAGTCTAGCTCCTCAGCAGCGCATAGAGCGGGAAAAGCTGCGTGCCAGACCTCGCCACTTGTGGAAACGCAAGGCCGCTCAAGAGCCGGTCTTCGTTGTCGAAGACGGGGAACCTTCTCGTCGCACCCCGTCGTCAAGCTCGAAAGGCAAGATGGCCCGTCGCACCCCGTCGCCAGTCTCAGGAGGCAAGGCAGACGCTGCTACCTTGTTGCTGTCCCCTGCTCCGTTATCAGCCGCTTCCTCATCAGATGAAGGCTATCCTGGGAAGTTGGGCTTCCATTGGTATGAGAAGACGTTCGGTATGCTGCAATGTGAACAGGCCAATGCGGTCAACGACGTCGAGTCCCTGCACTGGAAGTCTGATACCGAGGAGTGTGAGAGTGAGAATGATTCGTCGGACGTGGACAGCGGTGAAGATTTGTCGGTTCTTCCTTGGCATGACAGCCGTAGCTCTCAGTTCACGGATGACTTGGAACCAAATCGGCAGCGGTGAGTTTTTGTGGTATTGCATGACCATTTGAAGGTGCAGCAAGGAAAACTGGGGGTGGGGGTGAGGGGAGACTTTGAACTGGAATGAAAGAAAGGGCATTCAGGAATGTGGGCAGTTCCTGGCATTGATGTTGAGACCACCGATTTTATCGCTCTCGGGGAATCTGAGGCGGCCACGATAAATTGCCATGTGCATTAGCAACTGCTGCTTCTTTGATAGCCACAATAGATGTTGTTGCCAACACTGATCCACCTTTTAACGCAGGACTGCATTTCAACGACTTCAGTTAAATGCATGTTGATAAGGTGCATAACACGCATACATCAACTGCTTGTATTTCAAGTGTCTTTTCATTCGTGTTTGCTTTGCATCTTTTAATTTTACCTAAAGATTAACAACATTCCCAAACGGCAGCTCTATTCGCTCTATTTATTTATTACAAATGTCTTTGCCCAGAAACTCCAGTTGTAGCTCATGATTTCATGGAAAGAACTACACAGCTCGGACAAAAATAGTAATGAGTATTCGTTGACATTTGCATGGCCTTCCGCAAGGCCAGAAGGCCCCTGTTCCTGCTCAAGTAACGAGCAGCAATGTGGTTTCAAATGCACATCCTCTTGCATCCGAGGCCCGACAGAGCTACATTTTCAATCTGTGATATGCAAATGAATCCGAGAGACATTTAAGCCCTGGAAGGCACAGGGTAATTTACTTGTTTGTTTAGCTATAGCTTAGCAAATATAATATCAATTGAAATAGAAATGAAGTGGCCAACGAAGCGCCCATTCCATCGGTGGGATGCGAATGCGCAACTTTCCCATGTGCTGGTTCAGGTTTTACAGAGTAAAGTGTTCTCCCGTCCTCTTGGCCGATTTCAATTTGTCATAATTCCTAAGCTACAGCGGAAAATTAACTGAGGGCTGCGATACTACCTAATGCGAACTCTGACTCTGAATGCAGCGTGTTCGGGCAAGGCCAACTGCGTTTGAAGTTCTGGCTTTCTGCCATGTATCAACTACGCCACATATCGTAATTTCTGTGAAGTATCACAGCACCCACTATGCCATTGTCCTTATGCAGATAAATGAGGTACCTGCTACTCATATGTAAGGTATTATGGGCACTTAATTGACGCTGCGTGTGGCTGATGACTAATAATCATGGCGGAGCACTTTGCAGTAGGTGGGAGGCATTAAGCTACACACATGTTGTGCTTACTAGCAACTGAAAATTTTATTTCGAAGCGAACACTAATAAATACATCACACGCACGTGTGTCATTTCCGACTTCCCCTGTCATCATCAACGACGTGATACAACAAAAAATGCACTCCCATAATCTATGGCACACAACCGGAAACAAACACGTGTCAAGAACTAAGAAAAGAAAACGTAAAACAGAAATAAACGAGAAAAAAAAGTAAATTAGAAAAACAAAAAACCCAAAAAACGCCGGGTTATGTGACATCCAAAAAGTAAATTCCGCATCTGTTAGTAGAACTGACGCTTGACTGACGCAACTGTCCCATCCTTTCCTTATTCTATACGCTTCCATTATTTCTCTCGTCGTCCGCTTGTTGTGCCTGTCAATAATTCGTGTGTCGGAAAATTTCCGTTGGCAGGTGCACTCCTTCCAGTACATCGCTAAGTGTGAGTAAGGGGCCCCCTTTAGTGAACTCTCATGTTCACGAAGGCACACATTTATGCACCGACCAGTCTGACCAACGTATTCCTTTCCACATGTGAAAGGAGTTTTGTATACATCTTTTTTGCACTCAACGTACCTCCTGCCATGCTTTATGCTACATCTGTTCGATTCTCGAGTTCCTTTTTTGTTGACTAGCCTTTCTACTGCTAAACAATTCTTTGATAATTTGTTTTCAGCTGAAAAAACAGCCCGCACGCCATACCTTAATGCAAATTTTTTCAACCTATGTGAAATATTTTGCAGATACGGGATGACCACTGTCCGCTCTCTTTCACCCTCAACTTGTCTACTTTCTTGGCGTGTGCCAATTATTGCATTTTTCACTTCCCGACGATTCTTCTCACAGGCCAAAAGTATACAATCATCTTGGTAACCAGCTCCCCTCAAGCGCTTGATCTGTGCGGAAACACTCTCTTTCATTGACTCTCTTTTCTTCTCTCTTTTCTTGTTCAGAACTTCGTTCTGCTAGCTGTATATATAAAAACAGATGAAGAATGCTGCATCTCCTGATTATATTCTGCATTTCAAACAGTATCCGCATTAAGAGTGTTGCACGTAATATTATTCTACTTGGCATGTGCAACTTGTGTATTCTGTTGTGTAGCATGAATGAGGAGTACTTTGATTCGGGCTAGCTGCTTCATATCAATTTAATAGGGAAGCGCAAAGACAAAGGAAAAAGAAAAACAGCACTCCTTGTCTCTATGTCTTTCTTTCCCCTGTGTCTTTACACTGCCCTTTCAAAATCAGTATAATGAATGAACGCTAAAAAAATAAAACATGCAAACGGAATCTCAGGCTTATTATTTTAATTTTTGTTTTGAATTGCCTAGAGATGCTATTCACTAATCGGCCCTCGTTTACCGTCTACCTCGGTGGACCAGTCGCTATAGTGTTTTCTGTTGCTGACCGGAATGCCGTGGGTTTGATTGTGGCTGCAGCGGTCACATCTAGATTGATGCGAAAAAGTAGATGACCTTGTACTGTGCAATGTCAGTGCACTTTAAAGAACACCAGTTGGTCAAATTGCCGAGATCTCCACTGCGGCATTCCTCATATTCATGTCGTGGTTTTTTTTTATGTAAAACCACACATACCACCACCACCACTACCACCAGCATTTCGCTTTCGTTCGTCTTCCCGTCATTCCTGCATTGTGTCGTGTCCTTCGCCAACCCTGTTAACCCTTAGCTTGTGTTTGGGGCATCATCTCTGACTGCAGTTTCAGTGGAGCGACGTGGTGTACCGTGGTCACAATACGTACATGATCTTTGCCAGCCTCTCCTGAAGTACATGCACTGACTGATTCATCCCACAGAAACTGGTAATACACAGCAGAAAGCGCCGAATCGACACATCCGTGGCATACGTGCACGAGTAGGCTGGGGCACGTCATGCGCGCGTGACCTTGCTTACACATGTGTTCTTTGTGCGTATGCGTCATGTGATTCTTCAGCCCCGATACCGAAGAAAACAGGGAAGGAATAAGGCTCACGATGACTGCATGGGACGAAAGGCAAGGGATTCAAGTTTGCTTCTTCGCATCATGCTGTGGGGGCTGGTAGCGAACCAATTTGAAAAACCGCCATGGTAGAACGCTTTTCATTGGGCACGCAATAGTTTCTGTTGTCTAACTACAACTTATTATGTCATGTATAACTACAACTCATTATGTCACCTAGAGAGAGACGCTTAAAAAGTAAACTACAAACAAAACAAAAGCCGCGTGCTCATCACATTTTTTACCTGAAGGCGCTGCAGCAGATGGGTAACGATGTCAAAGAAAGCACGCCTTCGTTGACACAACACACTTTGTTCTCTTTATAAGCCATTTCATTCTGTCATGAAACTAACAAAAAATGAATTATTAGAAAAATTATATCTGATATGACATTCTAAAATCCTAATTATCATTGCTTGAAGAGGACTGTCTAGGTACATTTATTTTCGAGTGTGAGTTTAGCATGAAATGCTTGACATAGGAGCTTTAACTGCAGTTTAATTCGATGCGATGATAGTAATTCCCATCCTTGTTAATTTGTTATATTGTTACAGCTGTCATTTTTGAGTAATGGCTTAGGACAAACCTTGAAGCGCTGTTCTGTATTTTAAAGACATATGACAAGAGATCTCATACGGAACAGGCATATTCAAGCATACAGTGAATGTATGCTAAACACACCGTTGATTGTAAACATGCCTGCGCCTGTCTCAGGCTTCTCTGTATGAAGTATAACGATTTGGCGACCTTCGCCACCACTGAATCAACAAGAGCATTCCATGAGTGGTCCTCCATGGTTTTTCATTCGTGCTCCAGCTACCCGCGGCTGCCCAGAAAAACCTGCTCTTCCTTTCCCACCGCAACACCCATGTTTTCAAGGGGTTTTTTCATTTCCTTCAGGTCACTCACTGGACAGCTATTTGTAGAAAATGGTCGCCGCGTCCTCGGCCACAGGTGTCACTTTTATTTCCTTTACTCATCTTTAATTCTCTCTCCTCCTTCCCCTGCAGACGCTGCGACATTCTTCGACTTAATGCTGCAGAAATAGCGTCTTTGCGCTCTTCATGCTCCTTCTCCAATCGCTCACAGCCTGTCAGCTTTGTCTTCGTTGAGCTTTATAGTGTTTGAATTATCAATGCTGCCTTTTTTACATGAATAACGGTTTCATAACACGCTTGAAAACGAAATTTGACTTTGAATAGCGCTCGTATATGCGCTGCTCATTGAGAAAATAGGCATTTATGGGCACTAATAGGCTTTTAGGCACGAACACCCAAAATAGGCAGTTACAGGCACTATAAAAACACCATCAAGCGCTGTCCTTGTCAGCCTTTTTTGTCAGTCCGTTTTTTAGTGCACTTCAACAAAATGTTTATATATGAACGTAATCCAACTGGCCCAACTTGCCATCTTGCTACTGTAGTGGGGAATATTGCAAGGGGGTTTATTAGCGACGCCAGGTAATAGGCAGACAGCCAGTACGGAAACAAATGCTCGGGCAGTCCAGCGTCTACAGCTCGTGCTCCCGCTCGCGCTTCGCACTCAGCGATGGTCCCACTAGTCATTGCCTTGCGAATTCCCCGCTACACTACCATAAAAGCCCTTCTTAACCTCTAATTGATGCTCATATATCAAAATGGCACGATAGGAACGCAAGGAACAAAATAGGCATTTGCCTATAATCCGGTCTCTAGTCATGACCACACGCCACGCTCATAGTGTGCTCGCGGTCATTTCGCTAGCTTCATATGTACCAAATTTGTTATTAGGTCCAATGGATGACGAAGGTATATAACTGGTGCAAACACGATAATGACATGCGTGTCATGTAAGAACATGACTACATGCCACGCTCATGATGCGCTCGTGGCCATTTCGCTAGCTTCACATATATTGAATTTGGTATAAGGTGACGCAAATGAACGGTGAAGGTAAATGACACATACAAACATGATAATCATGACATGGGTGTCATGTAAAACATGACATGCTACGCTCATAGCGCGCACGCGGCCATTCATAATGCTCCAAGGTTGTGTGTAGGCAATGACACAGCTACATAGCTCGAAAAGGCCTGTATTATAGAGCCACTTGCAACCCTTGCGGGGATGAATCCTGTGCTTGTTTATCGCAGTCAACCCACCAAGATGTCATTCCTGGTTACACTGTAACAGACCTGTCACGATGCTCCGGCTGTAACCACTTTGCTCATCTTAATTTGAAGTGATGAGTTTTATATTGCTCACACTTGCCACATGTCGACAGTGTTTCTGCACTTGGAATTGAATGCCCCACCCTATATGTGTTCAACGTTCATCTGGAGCCTCCCACCGGGATGTTCCTTATCAAATTGAGATTTTGGCTCATCAATCCTTCTAATTTAAACAGCTGGACACATTAAGTGGGTTGAGGAGCAGTAACTACTTGGTTAGTTGCATGGCATTATCTTCAGGTGATAACGCTGCCGAAATTTCGTGCTCCCATGCCCCGATGTGTGCGGGGACTTTCCAAGAAAGTAATTTGTTTGACAAAAAGACTGAGTATGTCGCGAAAATAGAGGCAATGCCCCTGCACGTTGTCTGCATGCTGCCAGCTGCTTCAGACACGGACTGCTGCAGTGGTACTGCAGTTATGACGACCTGCACGGCTTCAAACCCAAAGGTTGTGAGTTCGGCCATGGCAATGACATTTTTGATGGAGCCAAAGTGCTAGAGGATCTTGTACTGTGCGATAATCGAGACACGTTAAAGAACACTAGATTAATGAAATTTCTGGAGCCCTTCACTACGACGTGCCTCGTGATCGGTTCGTGTTTTTGGCACGTAAAACCCCGGATATTTATGGATTTAAATACTACGGTGAAATTAGAGATGTCTCTTATTTGATTTGCATAAACTTCAGATACAGATGTTAGCACGGCAGTGTTATCACTTGCGGGTTGCAGGGTGTGATCTTCACGGTCATTCCTTTCAGGCTGGATCGCTGGCAAGAAAACGCCCGAAAGAGACTGCAGGCACACCTCCCGGGTGTCCGGGTCACGAACAGAGCATGGGAAACCATCGACAAGTGGTGAGTGTCTCCTTATTTTTCTCCATTCCTACACCACTTCATTGGCTGTCCATCACTTTTCACTTGATTATACAGTGAGGTTTGATTCTCAACAACACCAAAACGACTTTTGCACACTAGTGTTTGGACCAATAGCTTCGTGTGGCTAGTCGCTAGTTCTGTGGCTTCCTTCTTGCCCACCTCCCCACTTTGGAGCTTTCTTTTTTTTTCTGACGACATTAAAGGAGTACTCACACAAATCTTAGCAGTTTCCATGTTATTGCTTTAAAAAAGGCACTGGTGTTGGGAACCTTAAATAGAGTATCATGGTCCCTGAAAACACATGGAATATGTTTTTGACACCACTGCTTTAAAAAAATGCTTTCGGTATTAATATCGAGGAGGGGTCTCGAAGCGGCCCCGCCGCGTTGATCTAGTGGCTAAGGTACTTGGCTGCGGCGGCTGCATTTTCGGCAGAGGCAAAAATGCTGTAGCCCCATGTGCTCAGATTTGGGTGCATGTTAAAGAACCCCAGGTGGTCGGAATTTCCCAAGCCCACCACTACGGCGTCTCTCATAATCATATGGTGGTTTTGAGGTGTTACACCTGTGGGAATTGAGGCTGGCCCGCTGCCTTTAAGCGGGCTTTCCCGCCTTTTCTGCCGTTCTCATGTCCCGACATGTCTGCCCTCCGTTGCTGTCTGCCGCGCTGAGAGAGCGGAGTGACGTTTAACTCCCTCACCCGGTAGCGGATGCTGACGGTGGCGCCGCGCGCGGGGACTCCCAAGAGAGGTTTTCGCGCGCTGCGTCGGGAGCGGGCAGATACTCTCCGGGACAGCAAACGGTGCGCCACGCTATCTTTTCGTCCGTCGACTCCCGTCAGTCGGGGGCTCGTCGGACTTCGCTGACGGCGCCTCGCGCCCAAGGCGAACGCTCACCCGCTGTTTGCCCCGCTGCGTACGCACGGCCGAAGGGCGGTACGGTGTCCTAGTGCGTGGCCTCGCTACGCCGACCCGTCTCCCTTCGAAGCCAACGCGAGCGCCTTTGCTCCGGTGTCTCCGTGGATCGGCTTTACCGCGGAGACGTGCTCGTGGCACCCCTGTGTAGTACTTTGTGCCCGTGGCGTGGATAAGCCTACTTGCTTTCCCGCCGCGCCTATTTGCAACGGGCTGTACTGCGTTTGGTGTTGCCACAATAAAGTGTTGCGACTTGAGCAGTATCGTGTTCTCGCCACGGCGCCGGTTAACGCGTGCCCTGCGGCTCGCTAAGACCGAACCCACGCTGGTGGCCGTACTCCTTCGGGATACGTGTACACCACACTGGCGCCCAACGCGGTATCAAAAGCTCTAGCTTTTGACTGCTCTTAGCGAGTCAGTTCGCCTGCGCGATTCGGGCTCGTCGCAACATGGCTGCTTCGCGGGACTTTTGTCCGCTGTCCCTTTTAGCGGATGCCGCGTTGCACACGGAGGCCATTGCCTCTATGAACGGGAACCCTTCTGCACCCGTCCGTGTCGGCACCCCCTATTGCGGTGACGACACGAGGCGCCTAGCCGCTCCCTTTGGAGATGGCGCGTCGCTTCGGAATGGGCCTCTTGCCCTACCCGAACGTTACGCACAAGCGCCTCCGACACCCGTCCGTGTCGGCACCCCCTATTGCGGTGACGACACGGGGCGCCTAGCCGCTCCCTTTGGAGATGGCGCGTCGCTTCGGAATGGGCCTCTTGCCCTACCCGAACGTTACGCACAAGCGCCTCCGACTGCTAATGCGCCCTTTGGCATGCATGGCAGTTCGTCGGCACAGCGCTCGCAGTCGGTTCCCTGCGGAATTGACGGGGCCCTCGCCGACTTTTGCCCGCTATCAGCCGTGCAACCGACACTTCGACCGCACGCTGAGCATACGCCTGAATTGTCGATGGTAGCCGCACCAAGTGCGCCTTTGGTTCGACAACAGGCAAATCCCACAAGGAGCCTATTTTGCTCTGGGAATGGCGCGCAGGGCGGTGGTCTGTTTGAAACCACCCCACTGATCGAGCTGGGCGACTGCTCGCCTTCGCTCGACCGCGCCGCTAACGCACCAACGGTTTCCTACGAAGCCGGTGCGACGACGCAGACTTCGCTGCAAAACGCCGTGCAGATGATCCAAGCACTCTCGGGAGCTGTGCAAACGCTTTCGGCTGTTCCGAAAAGCGGTCACCCCGCTGTTATGTTGCCTGTGCCAACCTACAGCGGATACGGTGATCAGCTCACCGCCCGAGATTACCTCGACTCTCTGTCACGTTATCAGAGAGCGATGGGTTTGGATGATAAGGTGGTGCTCGAACGTGTTGTTCCAGCTGCACTGACTGACACGGCGGCGAGATGGTATCGGCTTTCCGGTTACCGTGCAGCAAACCTCGAGGAATTTCGTGCGGTCTTTTTGCGCGAATTCCTACCCGCTGACTACGAAAGTAGGATGCGGCGAGAGCTCGAGCTCCGTACACAAGCTCCTGACGAGTCTTTACAGGAGTATGTACGGGCGATGGATGAACTTATTTCTATCGCTGAGCCCCGAGCCTCGAACGAGGAACGCGTCGAACGGGTGATACGGCAGGCACATCCGACTTTTTCGGCATACCTGCGCGGCGGCCGCTTCAGTGATTTGGAAGCGTTGGCCGCCGAGGCGAAGCGCATCCAAGGCGACATTCTCGCCGCGCGTGCCTATCGCCCGCCGCCGCCAGCCAGCGACGCCCTTGAGCCGCGCTGCGCTTGGAGAGGGGCCATGACCCTTCCCCAACGGCAACAGCCTCTCGGCGCCGCCTTTGCGGCTGCAACGGGCTGTGCGTGGGAGTTGAGCGATCTCGCTCTTGACCCCTTTACGCATGAAAGGCGGGCAGCCTGCGCTGCTCCACCTGAAACCTCCACACAGGGACGCTTTTCGACCCAACGTAATGTGGGAGGTGCGGCTCGCAGAAACGTATCCTACGATAACGTAGCGAGCCGATCACGACAGCTCGAAGCTGCTCCGTCTGGGAATACAGACCGTGATGGAGTGCGCTGTTACCGCTGCCGTGAAAGAGGGCACATAGCAAGGGAATGCACCGGATCCAGGCCTCCTGCGAGGCAGGGAAACGGGCTTCCGGGTCGTTCGTGAATGCACGACCGACCCAACCTTTGCTTCTTCCCTCTGCGTGCAGGGCAAGCACTTTTCTTGCTGATACGCACGCGCCGTTCATTCCGGTCACCATTGCCGGCCGTGAATTTTCGGCTTTGCTGGACACGGGCGCTAGCGCCTCGTTGTTCGGTGAACAGGTGTTGTCCCACTTGCAGAAGCACTCGGTGCGCTTGCGGGACAGCCGAACGACATTCACTCTTGCGAAAGGCGTGGCCCATTCGGCAGGCGCTGCAAGGTTGACTGTCCGATGGGGAGTTCGAATGAGACGCTGTCGGCTTATTCATCTTCCAGGGCTCAATGTTCCAGTGATTCTCGGTCGGGACTTTCTCCTCAAAACCGGTATCGTTGTGGACATTGCGAATGGCGGCTATCGTGATGGCCCATTTTGCCAACTCAAGCCGTTCATCAGCCCGCCGGCGCTTACCGTCGCCTTTGCGGCAGAAGCGTCGGAAACGTGCCTTGCGCAGAGTTCGGGGCCAAGCCCCCGCTCACCGCATTTGCCCTCTCACAGTCCCCTTCGGGAACGAGAGGCGCGGCACGAACCGTGTCGTGCGCCAACTCCGGGGTCGTACCCTGGCGTTCCGCGCTCGTCGGCTCGAAACCCCTGCTTGGATCGACCGGCACGACACGAAGAGGCACTACATCCTTTGGTCGCCTGCGCGACTCAGTTGGATGAAGCACAGAAGGCTCGTCTGTCGACACTGTTACGTCAGTACGACGAGCTCTTCACCGATCAACCTGGCTGCACCGATTTTGTGAGCCACGTGATCGAAACTGGTGACGCGCTTCCTTTGAAGTGTAACCCCAGGCCCGTCAGTCTCGCCAAAAGGCAGATTATCGATGGGTTGCTAGATGATATGCTTGCGGCTGGCATTATTCGCCGCTCGTCTAGCTCCTGGGCGTCTCCAATTGTGCTGGTGCCTAAGAAAGATGGCAGTCATCGCCTGTGCGTCGACTATCGCCGTCTGAATGGAGTGACTCGTAAGGATGCCTATCCGCTCCCCACGATAAACTCCATCGTAGGTAACCTGGGTGATGCACGGTACTTTACCACGCTTGACGCCTCTAAAGGTTACCTACAGGTCCGGATGGGTACCCGTGACCAGTGTAAAACTGCATTCACGTCCCACAGAGGGTTGTTCGAGTTTACTCGTATGCCCTTTGGTCTTTGCAATGCTCCTGCGACGTTTCAAAGACTCATGGACCGCGTCCTCTGGGAAGCAAAGTGGTCATACTGCATGTGCTACCTCGACGACATCGTGATTTATTCACGAACCTTCGAAGAGCACTTGGCCCATGTTGCCGATGTACTCGAGAGGGTGAGGACCGCCGGGATGACACTTAACCCCGCTAAGGTCCAATTAGCGCAGACCCGTGTTCAGTTGCTCGGGTTTACGCTGGGCGAAGGCTCCATAGAGCCGGATCGGGAGAAACTTCGAGCTATTCTCGAATTTCCCGTGCCCAAGGACGTACGTGGCCTTCGCCGCTTTCTAGGAATGGTCAACTTTTACCGTTCCTTCATTCCGTCCTGTGCCCGACTGCAGGCGCCCTTGAGCAAACTCTTGGGTAAGTCTGCCGAGTGGCAATGGGGACTTGAGCAGCAGGAGGCGTTTTGCCGACTGTCTAACGCCATAGCGGAGACAGCGCAGCTCAAGCTCCCCGACCTGACCAGACCGTTCGTTGTACAGACTGATGCGAGCGATCTGGGTTTAGGAGCTGTTCTCCTACAGGAATACGATGGCGTGTTGCAGCCGTTGGCCTTTGCCAGCCGCTCCTTGGTCTCTGCGGAGAAAAATTATTCCGTGACCGAAAAGGAGTGCCTCGCCATCGTGTTTGCACTGCGAAAGTTTGACGTCTATCTTGATGGGACGAAATTCGTAGTGCAAACGGATCACAGTGCGCTCAGCTGGCTGATGCGGCTCCGTGAGCCTGCCGGCAGGCTGGCGCGCTGGGCTCTCCTGATACAGCACTATGACTTTTCGGTGCAGTATCGAAAGGGGAGCACCAACGTGGTAGCTGACGCGCTATCTCGTGCCCCACTATCGGCCGAGGACCTTGATCCCGGTGCGACCGCTGCTAGCGGTGCCTTAGCACTTGCAAGCGTCGGGGGCGAAACAGCAGCTTCGCCGCCGTTCGGCGTGAAGGGTGAGTCCCCATGCGGACAAACCTTGGCTGCTAACCAGGTAAGCGGCGCACCGCGAAGCGGCCGAGCGGGGGAGCTTTCCGAAGGCCGAGAGCGAACCCGTAACGCCGACTCAAGCGGTTGTTGCTGCGGTCCTGAGTGGGCGCGATACCAGACTCCCCCATTTTGGGAGAATGGGCATCGCTTTCAGCAGAGAAGAGCTTCTGAAGGCCCAGCAAAGTGACCCGTTTTGTCGCGAAATATGCGACGGTCTCAGAGAGATGGAGCGCCGTGACGCTGCTTGCCCTGCAGCGGGCGCGAATAGGGGGCTCGAACCAGCGTGTGTCGCTGAGTCCCCGGCGGATTCATATTTGCTGGACCATGACGGGCTCCTGCTGAAGTATATAGCCACTGACGACGAGTCCATAGACCCGTTTAAGGTGGTTATGCCCAAATGTCTGAGAGCCGCACTGTTGCGATCCTCTCACGACGAACCCATGGCCGGTCACCTGAGTGGCTCGAAAGTTTTTGCAAAACTAAGCCGCGTTGTGACCTGGCCTGGCATGAAGCGAGACATTTTTCGCTACTGCCGTTCTTGCCGCGTCTGTCAAACGGTGAAATCAAGGGGTGGCAAACCGCCCGGTCTGATGAAACCGATTGTCAGTGAGCGTCCGTGGCAAGTGGCCACCTGCGATCTAATGGGACCATTTCCCAGAAGTAAGCAGGGGTTCATTCACCTGATGGTAGTCGCTGATCACTTTTCGAAATGGGTGGAACTTTTCCCGCTTCGGAAGGTGACAGCGCGAGCGGTGCTTGAGAAGCTGCAGGAAGTGTTTTGCCGGTTCGGCTTCCCGGAAAGGCTCATCACTGACAATGCTTCGTATTTCACCGCTCGGGTGTTTGGTGTCACGTGCCGTTCCCTCGGAATTGATCACTGCACCACTTCACCCTACCATCCCCAGTCCAATTTGACGGAGCGCGTCAATCGTACGCTCAAACCGATGTTGGCGGCCTTTGCCGAAAGTCAAAGGGACTGGGCAGACCATTTGAGTGAGCTCGCGTTCGCTATTCGAACATCCGAGAGTCGCTCAACTGGTTTCTCGCCCGCCTTCTTAAATTTTGGAAGGGAGTTGGCAAATCCGGTGACCAGCGTCACTCAATGCCAGCTCGAGGACGAGGAGGCGCCGGCAGACTGCTCTGCTTACGCGTCGGCACTTCGGGACAGGCTTTGTCGAGCTTTCTGCAAAGCAAGGCAAAGTTTGGCGTCGGCCAGGGCTCAGCAGAAGGCCCAATATGACCGCAAGCATCGCGACCTAGTTTTTGAGGTGGGCGATCTTGTCCTGAAGCGCAACCACGCCCTTAGCGATGCCAGTAAGGGGTTCTCAACCTCGCTCGCTCCTAAGTGGCTTGGTCCGTACCGAGTGGAGAAAGCTTGCACTCCACTCGCGTACTTGCTGAAAGATCCCCAGATGGGAAAACTCAGCCGTGCCCATATCGCAGACCTGAAACCCTTTGTATCACGGTCTGACGAGCTCGCGCCAGAGCCCTGCGGCACTGCGCGCCAGCAACGGGGCACACCCGGAGCGGCGGACCGCATTCGGACCCCGCGCCGGTATAATCTGAGGAAGCGGTCACCTTTGTGATCTCGCGCCGGACGGCGGACTTCTCCGCAACCGAAGGCCCTCAGTTTAGTCTAGCCTCAGTATAGGTTAGCTTCTTTACGGCCTTTTCTCGTAAAGAAGTTGACCCCGCCCTGTCTGCTGCCAGTGTTTCTTTTGCCTAATATTAAGTGTTATTTGTATTTTGTTTTTTTTTGCCAGATGTTTAGTGTCAGTATGCTCTGTGTTTACTTTTTTTTTTCGTGTTCGTTTCGTCTACCGCGAAGGGAGCTGTGTGTGACCTTGAGTGTCGGTGCTTGCCGGGGGAGAGAGACGAAGGACGCTTTGCGCCTACGCTCGCGCAGCCGTCGGCGGTGTGTGTGCGTGTGTAAGTGCGTGACGCTTCAGTGCGAGCCCGCGAAGAGTGCGTCATGGCTTCCCCCCATCGATGCGGACGCTGGAGGTGCTGGGGGGTCATTGACCCACTGACGTCAGACCATCTGGCTGTGCTCTGCTCTCGGCCGTCGTCGAAGAAGCCCCGCTGCCTTTACCACCATGGCTCCTGCGCGAGGCCAGCTGAAAGCAGCTATATGCTGCCGGCCAACGCCATTCGCGGCCAATTTGGGTCGGCCTCCCTGAGCACTGGAGAGGCCCGGCTTCGCGCAACGTTCCAGCTTCATCATCGAGCCAGAAATGCGGGGCCTCCGAAGCACAGCCGAGGCAGCGTTCGTCGCACTCGCTGCTTAACAAGACCAGCAACGAGCCATCAGTGAGCCTCCCCCTTCCGGTACCTCTGACCTCGCACTCGGGCATCGCACAGAGCGGACACTGTCACGCCCTTTTCCGCCCCTCCGCGCAGTGGACGCTATTCCCGCTTCAGCACCACGAACACTAATCCCACTTTTCTGTGCTCCCTTTCGCAACTGTTTTATAGTGTTATGTGCTTATTTTGTTATTTATGTTTATGTTTCTCCTTTGTAATCATTTTTTTTAGCAGCAGTAGCAGGGCTGGACTGAGGTTAGCTGTCGCTCATAGCAGTGTCATTTTAACTGCATGGGTGACGCCCGGCTGCCTTTTGCAGACCGGTAAAGGGCAAATTTAGGAGAGGGGGATGTGGGAATTGAGGCTGGCCCGCTGCCTTTAAGCGGGCTTTCCCGCCTTTTCTGCCGTTCTCATGTCCCGACATGTCTGCCCTCCGTTGCTGTCTGCCGCGCTGAGAGAGCGGAGTGACGTTTAACTCCCTCACCCGGTAGCGGATGCTGACGGTGGCGCCGCGCGCGGGGACTCCCAAGAGAGGTTTTCGCGCGCTGCGTCGGGAGCGGGCAGATACTCTCCGGGACAGCAAACGGTGAGCCACGCTATCTTTTCGTCCGTCGACTCCCGTCAGTCGGGGGCTCGTCGGACTTCGCTGACGGCGCCTCGCGCCCAAGGCGAACGCTCACCCGCTGTTTGCCCCGCTGCGTACGCACGGCCGAAGGGCGGTACGGTGTCCTAGTGCGTGGCCTCGCTACGCCGACCCGTCTCCCTTCGAAGCCAACGCGAGCGCCTTTGCCCTCGCTCGAGCAACCGGGCCTTTGCTCCGGTGTCTCCGTGGATCGGCTTTACCGCGGAGACGTGCTCGTGGCACCCCTGTGTAGTACTTTGTGCCCGTGGCGTGGATAAGCCTACTTGCTTTCCCGCCGCGCCTATTTGCAACGGGCTGTACTGCGTTTGGTGTTGCCACAATAAAGTGTTGCGACTTGAGCAGTATCGTGTTCTCGCCACGGCGACGGTTAACGCGTGCCCTGCGGCTCGCTAAGACCGAACCCACGCTGGTGGCCGTACTCCTTCGGGATACGTGTACACCACACACCTCACATATCAATCAATCAATCGGTGGTTTCAAAGCACAATGTCAGCACAGTCTGATGTAGGTTGAAGTCGCGAGGGAGACAGCAACTGTGTCATTCTAGCATCAGCCTCGTCATCTCCGGTCACTTGCACATTGTGCACATGAAACATCCGTAACGGCTGCATGAAGCAAGCAGAGTTCATAAACACAGTAAACTGTGTTCACTCATCACAATAATGTCCTGTACGGTGGAGCTGACTAGCAGATGCTGGGTGACAAGAACTTTAAAATCATACTAGAGTATTTTGTACAAATTTCTTGGTTCCAAAATGTGGAGAGTGGTAACATTGCAAGCCAAAGAAATGAAAAATGTGCATTTTACGAAGCCTTATAATTCTGTCGCCACTCCTTTTAAAGGGACCATAGCCACCCTCTCAAAATACAAAACAACCACGTTATTCTCTTCTGGTGTTTCTCATCTTTCTCTGGCGCACCTTGTGACTCAAAAACGGTGATTCATGCGACTTCATTACGGTACATGCTTTTGATTGGTCCATATAGACTAAGTAACAATTGTGGACTGTCTCTTACTCTGCTTTGACATGCAGTCGCTCACCTACAAGTTCTCCTTTGTAATACGGGACTATCGTGCACGATCAACCAACTTCACGTGATTTTGTACGTTTTCGGCTGTGCAAGCAGAAGAGGCATTCTGTAGCTGACAAGCGTGAAATCCTGATAGGCACCACACTGTACACGTGGTTAAGATATAGGTGGCAAGGAGGGGGATGTCTCCTCTAGGAAATGTTGTCAGGGCAAGAGAGAAACCACCACCTATATTTGAACTCTGGGTGGTGAGGGGCCCTGTAAGCTTGTTCGTGTGTCATTGCAGTAACGATGTTGAGTTACTTTGAATAAGTTGCTAGTTTGCATTTGGGCTATTTTGTTAGCGTAATGCGTTGGGGACTTGTTGGTAAGCTTGCCATTGTTGTCGCCCGGGGACATTACAGGCACGACCATTTTATGGAGAAGATGGGTCAATCCCTGCAGGCCATGGCCGAGCGCGCCGGCCACGACCAGATTGAGGAAGAGGACGTTGTGTGGTTCATCCACAGGTCGGAATCTTGTCTGATTTTCTTCTCCTGCAGCTCTATTCCAATTTTTCACATTCTCTGTGTACCTATCTTCATTCGACAATGAAGTGTTAGCACAGCATGTTCATTGAGGCTGGTTGTGAACTCAAAGTTCGTTATAACGAACCCAGGTATAACGAATTATCGGTTGTAGTAAAGTAAATAAAAAATATCTGTCATAGACACAGTGTTATAAGTACAGTAAAAGCTCGTTAATTTGGATTTCACGGGACCGGTAAAACTGTCCGTATTAACCGAATGCCGAATTAACGAATGATCAGGGAAAACAACATTTAAAATCAAGCTGCAGAAGCATACCTTTATTTGTTGAAATATTTTGTAATTGTCCTCTGTGTTTTCGCGCAGATTCCGGCTGACATCACAATTTTTCTTAACTGTTCCAAATGGCCAACAGCACGCAAGCTGTCGGGAGTGTTCAGGCAAGCGTTCTCTAATATTAACAGCGCCTTCGAGAATTCCCGTGAGGTGCGATGAGGTCGCGGCTGTATCTCCTCGCATGATTCTTCGTTGGAATCGTGGTCTTCATGGGCACCCGTGACATCATTAATAATCTCTTGATCGGTCAGGAGACCACTCGTGGCGACACCATGATCATTTGCGATGCAGTCCTGAAAGGTCACATCTGTGGGAAGGACAGCATCGAAAGTCGGGCAGTCATCGTCGGTGGACTTGGCTGACACCTCCTCGATGCCATCGTCAGCTACTGCTGCATGCTCGGGCCTCACAAAACCGCTGTGCCGAAAACAGTTGGCGATGACTTGCGGCGCAGTGTTTTTCCGCACGTGGGCGATGATGTGCACTGCGCCGAGTAAGTCCACTTCATACAACTTTCCAGCTTCTGAGCATAGGATCATTCGCTCTAGCAGGTGCTTGCGGTACTTCGACTTCACGTAGTGAATGATACCCTGGTCCATCGGCTGAAAAGCAGACGTAGTGTTGGGCAGCAAAAAAACTACTTTGATGCTCTTCGGTTCGACTGTACAGTTATGGGCACTGCAGTTGTCAACAACCATAATTATCTTGCGGTCCTTCGACGTGAAGTGCCGGTCCAACTGCTGCAGCCAGCCGCGAAAAATGTTTGATGTCATTCATGCCTTCCTCTTCGCTGTGTACTCGACAGGAAGGCTTTTGACGTTCTTAAAGCAACGTGGCTTAAGCGCCTTCCTGACAAGTAGTGGCAAGCGCTCCGCGCCAGTCATATTGGCGGCAAGAAGCAGTTATCCTTTGCTTGCACTTCTTGCCATTGATGCACGCATCTCCTTTGAAAGTCACCGTCATGTTGAGCAGAGCTCTGAAAAATAGAGCAGTTTCATCTGCATAGAACACGTCACGTGGTTCATATGCGGCGATGTGCTCCAGCAGCTTCACATTTCTCCACTCAGTGGTCACGCTTTCGTCAACAGTGGCCTTTTCGCCGCACACACTCCTGAAGACAAGTTCGTGTCTCTCTCGAAACTTCGCAAACCACCCTTCTGACGCTTTTGAAACTTCGCAAACCACCCTTCCCGCTAGTTGATGATGATGGCGATGCCACTCGGGTTTCGGTTTCACTCCAGTGGTGCCAGCGCTGCTTTATCACACTTTTGTGTAGCAGGAGCCGTCAGCATTTGTCCGAATTAAGCGGTGCGGACGAAACAACGAAGGTTTCGTCCGACGATTCCGACGAAACAACGAAGGTTTGGTCCCATAGATTAACATGCACTTTGGCCGGGACCAATAGAGCTGTCCGAATTATCCAAATTTCCAAATTAATGGGTGTCGAATTAACGAGCTTTTACTGTATAAGTTTATAATGAATTTTCGGATAGAGCGAATTATTTTAGTGACAGGTCTAACTAATATTCTGAGGTTTGAGTTACATCAAAAATAAGACCAAGATACCCCTCCCGATTTCCACTGGCTACGCCACTGTAACACTAGTGAGATATTAAGGCAACGTACCTCCCTTCACCCTCCACCACTCACGCACACACACACACACACTAGCAAAAACTTGAACCTTCATCTTCCACTGATGAAGACTTGTGAACAGAGGTGGTGAATGCCAGGAAACGGAAAAAGGTTTGCAGAGCCCGCAAAGCTCCTTTCCGAGTGTATGAAGTCTATCACATGAGACATTTCAAGCCAACGGGAAGCAAAACAAGTTCCTCTTTTTTATGCATAAACATATCAGGTGACATTACTGTGACCACAGCTGTACCTCATCTCTCTCTGATTTGCTACTACACTGCTTGCTGTGCGACAGTGTCATCAAAGTAAGCCTCTTTGCAAGAGATGCGAGAGTCATGGATCGAAAACATAACGCAACAATGTGGCAATCTTTTTCATCCGAATTCCATCTTTACTGTCTTTGACATTGTTTTCGCAGACACCTTGGCACTGCAGACCCCTCCAAGCTGTGGGCCCTGGCTGACAAACTACTGCCTGGTGAACTGCGCAATCAGATCTATCCTGCTACCAAATGCAGCCAGACATTCAACGATGCACGAGGGGTGTGTGACGCGTCTCTCTCTCTCTCTCTCTTTTTTTTTTTTCATGTGGCACAAGTTTCTGACAATGAAAATGTTAGGGCTAACTGTGTAAACACAAGAAATAGGAAAAACGACAATGAAAACAGCACAAGCATTGAAAAACAGCACAGTATTTATTAAAATAAAATAGTGACTATATTTTGTATCAGCATGCCCATGCTCGTGTGCGTCATTAAGAAAAAGAACGGATTCAGAATGCTGTGAGCCAGTCCTCTCTTGGCGTGCTTGTTCTCAATACGGTGACAGGTCGGCCAAAATGTATAACATTTCTGAATACGAAACCGAAGGAAAATGATCGTATTGATTTGGCTCGTCAGCATGGGCTTAGGCAGGTGGTGCAAAAAGGGCATTTGCCACCCTCTTTCAGCCGCGATGCAAGACAACAATTGCCCTCCCCAAAACAATCTCCCGCAAAACTTCGCACTATGCTCGTCGGTCGGAGCACTGACATCAAATTTATGCAGCCAATATTTTTGAATCTTCGAACAGTTATCGGGCTCCTGGAGGCGATTCGCAACTCAAAATGCAATGGAGAACGAATAACTCTCTGTTATATCAACATGACCACAACTCAAAATGAGTGTAAAGCCCGCCAACTTATAGAGCTGGGAGGACTGCCTCACAGCCACTTCCTGACCGCACCTCAGCTGATGGTGTTAAACAGGAATAAGTGACCTCAGGTTCAGCTGAAATTTCATCTGTTGGTTCTCGCCAGCATTGACATTGTCACTGTCAGCAGGGTTGACAGGTGATGAAGTGTGGCGATGCACGCCTGGACCATGCTTAGCTATACAGTCGAGCCCACATATAACGGCCCCACTTAGAACGAACGTTCGCTTAGAAAAAACGATATCTGCGTGACCGGGAAAATATACATTGGTTCAATGGCACAAAATTGCACTTAGAATGAACATCTCCGAGCGTCACCGATCGGTTACAGCGAACGGGGTCGGCACGCAGCCGAATTTCCGGGAAACCACTGTCAACCACCAATGAGGCATCGGCGAGGTGCCCATACATTATAATTGATAAACGCCGACCCTGCCTCCCCGCCCCACTAGTTGCCGCTCTCCCCGACTGCTTTTTGTTACGCACCCCTCCATGCTTTGTCCCCCCCGCTACTCCGAGCACCCCGCATCGCCAGACGAGGCCCGTGTTTTCACAGTGCCACGGGTCTTTCAAAGACCGGTCGGCCATCTCCACTGTTCTTAATCGCTGGTACTGTCGTTGGCGTTGCCGGCCTGGAGTGACCAGACCATTTGCCAACATCGTCTGCCACCGACTGTATCCAATCGTCTGCGTCTAGTGCGCGCCCGTACGCTACTCTACCAACTCTGATAATTCGCGATTAATTTTGTGTTTAGTACCTGTTCTCGCTCACTTCGCACTCGGCTCAGCATGCATGAAAACGGCTGTTAACTGGTGCGGAACGAATAGCAAAATAATAAAGTCGGTGAGGCCACGCAAACCCGCTGGCGCAACAAAACGATTTTTTGACCACGACTGCCGATTCTTTAAACACTGCCGCGCGCGCCAATCCAGGCGGCCGTGGTTTGACTTCTGCGCACGAAGGCACACTTTCAAGTTTTTCTACGCGTGTTTTGTGGACCTTTCAAGCAAGCTACCCGACCTACCTGCTTTGCCCCCACGTGTTTTGCTTTTCAAGGTCGCCCTCCCGCCGTGTCCTCCCCTCTCTTCACTCTATCGCAACTCTCTCGCAAGTCCGCTCTCCTTTCTTGATCACAACCCCTTCGCCCGTCTCCACTGCTCCGAGTTAGTTTCGTTTTCTGACTAGAAACGGGCCCAGAACTGTTCCGCGCGTTCTGGCATGTGTGTCGTGTGTGCGCATCTTGCTCGCTTTTGGTGGGCGTGTGTGATCAGGGTGGCAGACAGGAGGTCTTGCACGCTTTTTCCTGCTACTCAACAAAACGTCGAAAGTGTGACCGCTTGGCTTGAGCGTAATCCACGCATTAGGTGCCGCATTGCGAAGCGCTTGCTCATAGCTGTTGACCACCTGGCAGCCAACTTGCCACTCTGGGCGTCCTGGTATTCGGTTGTGGAGATGGCGAATATTTCGTGGGCGGTGGTGACGGCTACATGCGGGCGAAACTGTTTTCGTGAGGACGACTTCGTCGACGTCGGGCCCGATGCTGAGCCTGAAGCTTCCGAACAGGATCATTTCGGCGGTGATTTGTGGCAGCGTGCCGTCGGCTTTGACATGGGAGAGGAAGTGGAGCATCTGTCGCGATAGTTTCATTACGGAAGATGTTGATGCCGACACCGAGGAACCGTGCACGAATCAGGGCATTATGAATAAAGTACGTGGTAAGAGCGATTTAGAGGAATCGAATTGCGAGAACGACGAAACTTTGGAGCCAGTCCCTCATGCAGCTTATGCCACGGGCCTAGGCAACAAGCAGGCTGCTGTTTGAAATAAACTAGAACTAAACTAGAACCCTTATCGCTTCTGTTCTTTGTAACATGTGCATGACAGACTTTTTTGGGCAAAAGAAGTTTTTGTTTTCACTCGCAACTTTTTTAAAAGCTGTGTTTCATTTACTACGAACTTCGGGATACAGCAAACAGATGCCGCGTCAGGCTCAGGTTCATTATAAGTGGGCTTGACTGTATTGCTTCAGATAAGTTTAGCAAGTAGATCCCAGTATACGCAACATTGGGTTACTGCACAATGGTTCCGACATGTTGTGATGCTCTGTACAACGAGAATTATAGATATTGTCACGTTACACCGTAACTGCAACCTGTAGATTATGGCACACAAGGTTGTCAAACTGATTCGAACAACGGCAATACGACTTTATCATTTTTCTCTGCACGCGCATCTTCGTCCTCTTTTGAAGAGTGGCACATACAAGCCTGCCACCATCTATGGAAATAATACTTGCAGAACTTGTACTAATGGCATTACCCCCTTCCCAAAGAACATCGTCCCGATGTCACAACATAATTACCAGATGAAAAGAAAACACATACGATAAGCAGTACAGAAGGGGGTGTTCACAATCACTCTAAATCTACTCAAGGGAGTTTGACGAATGGTCAGCGTTGGTTAAACGGTTTCATCCTCGAAACATGGACGACGTGTGGCTGTTGTGAACGGCGAGATTGACGAGCCATGTCCACGTCAAGAACCTCGTAGTACACTTCGCTGAGACGACGGAAAACTCTATAGGGACCAAAATAGCGGTGTAACAACTTTTCCAACCGGCCCTGTTGTCGAATGGGAGTCGACAACCATACTCGTTCTCCGGGTTGGTAAGAGACATCGCGACGACGAGCGTTGTACCGTAGCGAGTAGATGCATTGTTGCTTATGGATTCGTTCGACTGCAAGCTTACAAGCTGCGTCTGCCAGTCTGATAAATTCGTTCGTCTTGACACTAATCTGGTGTCTGTCTGGTAGAAGCATGGCATCCAGCATTGTAGTGACCTCCCTGCCGTGAAGCAACCGGAATGGTGAGAACGCAGTTGTTTCTTGCACAGCGGTGTTGTATGGGAACGTGACGTAAGGGAGGATGTCATCCTAGTTTTTGTGGTCTTGGTCAACGTACATGGATATCATGTCGGCGATCGTCTTGTTTAGTCGCTCTGTAAGGCCTTTGCTTTGTGGGTGGTATGCAGTGGTTTTTTGATGTACTGTGCCGCTAAGCTGCATGACGTCTTGTATCATCCGGGCGGTAAAAGCTGTGCCACGATCAGTTATGACAACTGTTGATGCTCCATGTCGGGGGACGATGTTTTTCATAAAAAGTGGGCAGTCTCAATGGCGGTGCCACGTTGTAATGCCTTCGTTTCGCAGTAGCGCGTCATGTAATCAGTAGCGACTGTAATCCAGCGGTTGCCGTCACGAGACTTGGGAAAAGGTCCTAGCAGATCCATGCCAATTTGTTGCAACGGTTGTGTCGGAGGAGCGACGGGCTTCATAAAGCCGGCTGGGCGCTGATGTGGCGCTTTACGACGCTGGCACTTGTGATACGTTTTCACGTAATGCTTCACGTCTCGATTGAGCTTAAACCAGTAGTAGTGTTGGCGAATCCGGGCCAAGGTACGTGTGAATCCTAAGTGGCTTGAGGAAGGCTCATCGTGACAGGCGGACAAGACATCGGCTCATAATGCTGGCGGGACGACGAGCAGGTACTCAGTCGCGTAAGGGTTGAAGTTTCTTTTATAGATGATATTTCTGCGAACGCAAAATGATGATTGTGAGCGGGCGAATGCTGGTGGTGGATGCGGCGTACGGCCTTCAAGATATTCTATAAATTATCGAAGCTCTGAATCGTTCTTCTGCTGTTCAGCCAAATCGGATACACTAACGGCGCAGAGAAAACGGCCATCGAGATCGGGATCACCTGACGCTGTGGTAAGAGGAGCTCGGGAAAGGCAGTCCGCGTCAGTATGCTTCCGGCCAGACTTGTACACGATTGTCAAATCGAACTCCTGAAGGCGTAAGCTCTACCTGGCCAGACGTTCGGAAGGGTCTTTAAGGTTCGCCAACCAGCAGAGCGCATGGTGATCAGTAACAACTCTGAACGGGCGACCATACAGGTACGGTTTGAATTTAGCTATTGGCCAGACAACAGCTAGGCACTCCTTTTCAGTGGTTGTGTAATTCGCCTCCGCAGATGATAAAATCCGGCTCGCATAAGCAATAGGGCGTTCGACGACGCCTTGCCACTGGACGAGGACTGCACCAAGGCCTATGTAACTGGCGTCTGTGTGTAGTTCAGTGTCGGCATATTCGTCGTAGTGTCCGAGTAAGGGCTCAGACAGGAGACGCTGCTGGCTCGGAGAAAGCGCGTGTTTGCTCAGGGCCCCACACATAGGAAACATCTTTTGTCAGACTAGTGAGGGGTTCGGCAATGTTTGGGAAATTTCGCACAAAGCGTCTGTAGTAAGCACAGAGGCCTAAAAATCACGTTTGTTGGCAGGTGGTGGAAAATC